CCCCCCTCCCCCATTGCTTTATGCCCAATCCCATTCCCGTCCCAGCAGTTCAGGTTTAGGGCCATTCCCCCGTCCCTCCCTCACCACAGTGACCCTGACCCCATTCCCCACCCCCTCGTGCCATCACTGCTGCCTCCACAGAGTGGGGGGGGGCACTCCCTCTTTCCCCCACTCTGCTGTGGGGCTGGGCCTGGCCCCCCCCACCTCCCCTCCACTGTTTCAAGGCTGGACCCAACCCTCCTCAAACTCCCCACTGCCAATTCCGAGCCAGGTTGGGCCTGGCACACGCCCCCATACCCTCCATTTTGGGGCCAGACCGGGCCCAGCATGCCCCACCCCCGCCGCTGTTCTGGGGCTGGAACTGGGCCACTCCCCCCCATGCTCAGTTTAGGGGCTGGACTGAGCCCAGCACACACACCCCACCCTCCCTGCTATCATTTGGGGCTTGGCCTGCTCCTGCCATTCCCCCTCCTTCCCACCCCCCTGCATCAGCCTAGGTCTGCTGCTCCCCAGCACCCACAGCTGTGACAGGCTGGCTTCTCCTCGACCTTGGGCCGGCTCCTCCCTTCCCCCCTGCCACTGCCACGTCAGCCCGAGCCTGCTGCTCCCCACCCTTCCCCTGCGTCAGGAGGGAGCAGTGTGGGAGAGAGGGGGTAGGGCCAGCAGTGGTGGGCTTGGTTCCCCCGTGGCTTCCCAACCTCGCTCCCTCCTGCACCACCACTGCTACCTTTAAGGAACGAGGTGGGGGGGCCAGGCCAGCTCTGCTCCTTTCCATTGCTACCACCTCCAGGGAGTAGAAGTGTCCCCACCATCATGGTGGAATTCTACCGTGCCACCACCTCCTGTCCAAACACTGTATTTGCACTCTGATTGGTTGCTTCTGTCAGCTAGTCAGAGTGCAAATAAAGCATTATGGACAGACAGACAGGTGACGGCTTTTATAATATATCTATATCTATATCATGCATATGTGTGCGTTTAAAAGATAGAATTTTATTTTCAGAACATATTCAATATAATGGTTTCATGGACTTACGTATATTTTCTTTAACTAATGGAATCAGCATTTTATACTCTAGTTTTTCCCATTGTAGTTCTTTTTTGACTTGCTCTTTATAAGACACTTAAACTTTGAATATTAAAAAAGCAGGGAAATATTTTCTGTTTGGTGAAAGTGTTTCTGTCATCCTGGAGAAAATCTTAGTTGGACTCTGCTTGCTGATATTATCACTAGGTGTAGGAAAAGTTTTGTCAATTAACTTGTGCTCCCTCTGCTGGCCCGGCTACTGCAGAACATTAATTCATCTACTTCCTAAAACCATTGTTATCTGCAATTGTTGTACAAGTAAAATTAGTGCCAATTTGGAGTATATTTTGTCCGAAGGAACTGTATATGAACAGTAGCTACAGAGTTTTCTGAAGAAAGTTCTTAATGGCAGGTTGGTGGTTTTAAGAAGGGAACAAAGAATGAATATATGTAGTGATAACATTTTTAAAAGAGCACACCCATTTAGCCAAAAGATCCAGGTTCACAGCAGTGGAAGTTATAAGGCACAAGATTATTTAGAAGGTATAGGATTTATGAGATAGTAAGAAGTTGTTTTTAGAAAAGGTTGACATTTGGGGCTGAATTTCCTGAAAATCTTATATTTATTAGAATGCTGAAAGAAAACAGCTAGATCAAGTATATGAAATGTTCTGAGTTTGGCTGAGGTCAAAGCATAAATGGGTTGCAATGGGATGGATTTCAAGGTAGATTAACAGCAAGTTTTGTATTTTTCTGTTTTTCAAGCTGGACCTGTGATCTGCAGAATGCTGAATTACCCCCCAACTCGAAGAGCTTTAATTGTGGGTTGTGGCCTGCAGATGTTCCAACAGCTGTCAGGAATTAACACCGTCATGTACGTATCACTGTCTCTCCTTTTTATAAAATATCACAACAATATTTTAGCTTTTTGACTGAATATCAGTATTTTAGAAAAGATTGAAATTCAAATTCCCTGAAATGCTTGTAATTCTTCATGAAGTTGAATGCAGCATGTATGAAACATCACAAGCACACTATCTTTTGAACAGCAGCTCTTCAGGACTGGCAATATGGTATTTGAAAGGAGATTTTTGTTTTCTCTATTTTTCTTGTGCTGTGTTCATATGCAGAAAAGGGGTCCATGTAAAATAACTTTTTTCACAGATATGCTGGTGCTGCATATTTCAAATCCTGTATGTTTTACTGATAAAAATATGTTTTCTTTACATTGACTTTTCTGTTAGCTGTAGACCTCATGCTGTAGTGGCCAATTAAGCTGAATTCTTCTTTTACCTAAGCAAGAAAAAATGCATTTTATTTGCAGAATCTTTAATGACTGTTATGTATCGATTTACACTTTTAAACTAGGCATGTGGAAGGTTAAACAATTAATTGTTTAACCAATAAGTGCAGTGATAACTGGTTAGCTTACTGGTTATTTGTTAGCTCAGGCAGGTGAAGTGTGGCAGGGAAGATGGGGAAGGGAAGCCATGTAGTGCGCAGCTAGAATCAGAAGGCAGCAGGACAGGCAGGAGAGAGGGAGGGGGGAGTGAAGGGGAGAGGAGGGAGCAGCCAGGGGGACTAGCACCCATAGCTTAAGAGGAAAACAGGGAAAAACCTAATGACCAGGGATCCGGGTTTTCCATTTCCCACCCCCCCAGATTTCTATGTCCACAGTGTGGCCCAGGGGTGCAGCCTGGCTGCTCCAGCGCTGGACAGAAGCCGCTTCCGCAGCCCAGCAGGTGGGACCCGGAGTGAGAGGGCAGAGCTGGGCGGGGAAGCTCAGTGCTGCAACCACCACCAAGACGGCCGCATCACCATGGCTGCCAAGGTGAGTTGTCCCCTACCGACCCAGCATCAGCAAGGGGGAACAACTCCACACTGCTCCCACAGTGCTGTACTTTGGTGCCCATAGTGGTGTGGCAGCATGGGAACCCTGATGGTGGCAGCAACAGGGTTTTGGGTCCCCCTGCTGCTGCCAGGTGGGCAGGGGGCACCTCAGTTTGGTGGCCATGGCAGTACAGTGCTGCCTCCCATACCAGGTCCTGCCTGCTAGGCCATGGAGACAGCTTCTGCCCGGTGCCAGTCTGACTAAGCTGCGGCTCCATGCCCTGCTGTGGGTGCAGGAATCTGGGGGGGGCACATGCCCACATGCCCCAAACGCATTGCCTATAGCATTGGCTATACCCACACACCCCCTGTCCCCCACACACTCCCATTTTCCCACACTGTGGGGCTGGGGCCTGGGGCAGAGAGCAGTGGGTTGGTAGTGAGGGGCACCAGCAGGGCCAGGGGGTACAGGTCAGGAGTGAGGGGCACCATGGGGGGAGGTGGGGACTGTGGGTCAGGAGTTGAGAGGCACTGGCAGGGCCAAGGGCCTGTGGGTCAGGAGTAAGTGGCACCAGCAGGGCTGGGGCATGGGGGCTGTGGGTTGGGAGTGAGGGGCAATGGCAGGGGCAGGGTGCCAACATACCAGGGTACAGGTGCTTAGTGCTACAAAGCAGTGTGGGGGACAGGCGCAGCTGGACCCAAATCCTGGTGAGTGAAGGGGGTAGGGGGAGCTCTGAGTTTCTATGATGAAAAAACCAGAGTCAAACACCAAAATGTATAGGTATTTAGAATTTATTTTATTATAATGATTAAAGCACTGGTAGGTTTCCAAATTGCTTTAAAATTGTAAATATATCAATAAAACATTGTGTTCAACTGGTGCCTGTATAGTGGCATTTTATTTTAATCACGGAAAGACGTATTTTGGGGGGTTTTAATCAGACAGTTTTGGATTTTTTATCAGAAGATTTTGACTTTTTTTAACAGAGAAAACCAGAAAACCATTCACAGGTGCTCCCTCGCTCCCAGTGGAGGGCTTCATGTGGACTGTGTTGTTTCACTGGGCTTGCCTTCTCCCCACCCTCCTGCCAGTCAAAGGATTCTGGGAGCTGGGAGCGGCTCCCAGCAGCAGATGTGTCCAAGCTGCTGTGTTATCAGTTAATCTTTTAATCAGTATAGTTGGAGGGGGTTAAACAAGTATTTTAAAATTATATTTACATCCCTATCTTAAACACATTTATGTACTGACAAAACAAAAATTTCATTTGGTGGAAGTCATATGAGGATATACCCCACTAATCCAGATTTTTAAGAGGAAGGATAATAGTTCAGGGAAAGGTATCTGACTTTCCTTACCATCTTCATATTACCATCATATACTAGCTCCCCACAAGGCTTTCACTTTGATCTCCCAAAAAGCACTAAGCATTTTAAATAATATTTGCACCTTAATGAAAAATCTTAATAGCAATCTTATACTCTCTTGAAGCATCAGATTGCCATATTGGACCGACTGTCATGCACCCTTCTTTTTTAATAAATTAACATTAAGGTTCAGTTTCTGGCATTTCCTTAAGTTTAAAAATGTGCAATGGTTTGTCTAAGAGGTGGGGATTATTTTTCTGCTATGTCAGAGGACAGTAAGGATCTGGCTGATTTGCTTCCCTGTAGCCAGTAGATCTTCATGATGTTTCCAAACAAGAACTGAGGTTGAGGTTATCCAGAGATTCTGGATGAAGAAGGTGGATTGATCTTGGATTGTGGGGTAACAATAGTTTTGCAGAGCAGTGGCTGTTCTCTGTATATTTTAGATGAGAGAGACTAATATATTTTAGATGAGAGAGACTAATATATTTTAGATGAGAGAGACTAAGGTGGCAAAGGCATGTAGTAAGGCAGCGGCCCTGGATTTTAGGAGGGGAAATTTCAACGAGCTCAGGAGGATAGTTGGGGAAGCACTGAGGTCCTGGAGGGGAGGGGAGACAGGTGTCCAAGGAGAGTGGTTGCTCCTCAAGGAGATGATCCTTCAAGCCCAAAGGAAGGCAATCCCAACGAGGATCAAAGGGAGCAGAAGGGCACATAAGCCCCCATGGCTCACCAAAAGCATCCGGGAATGTCTCCTTGCTAAAAAGGTGGCTTACACCCAATGGAAAGAAGGGGTCATCACCAAGGAGGGCTATTCTGCAGTTGCTCGGGGATGTAGGGGGGTAGTTAGGAAGGCCAAGGCAGAGATGGAACTGGGACTAGCTTCCCAGATTAAGGACAATAAGAAGTCTTTTTTTAAATACATAGGGGGTAAAAAGAAGGTCCCAGG